TTCGATAACCTCTTGAGATCCCTTCCAATTCTAGTGTTCTATGAAAACCTGGCAGTTGGTCTCAGTTGGATACCATAGAAGGAACATGAACCAGCTGATCAGCAGGGAGAATGACTGATGGCCACCTTGGACTGCAGGTAGTGATCTCTCCCTCACTATCTCCCATCCATCAAAGTGAAGAAATCTGAATGCTGTGGTGGCAACAGAAGAAGAGCATACTCCAATGGCTGAGAAGAAAGTATAACCTGCTCTCAATGCTGAGAGACTGATAGCCACAACATCCAAGAGGAGGAAGTGAAGGGTGATGGTTGTGGTGGGGGACACCCTTCTGATGAGGACACAGGCATATTTTTGGCGATATCTTGGTAAGGAATAATAGACCACCAAATCAGGAGGATGAGGTGGATGTGGCATTTTTAGAACAAATAACAGTAACAGCCAAAACACAAGACCTGGTAGTAAAAGGGACTTTACTCAGATATCTGTTGGAAAGAAGAAAACTGTCAAACACAAAATATCCAATAAATTCTTGACAAGTAATGAGGAAAATACATTGCTTCAGGTAGAGAAAGTAATGATGGAGGCAGTCATTTTAGACTTGATACTAACAGGAATTGGTTGTGAATTTGAAGATTGCAAGTAATGTAAGTGAGAGTTAATTAGATTCCATGATTCTAAAGAAAGGAAGGAGAGAGCACAGCAGAATAAAAACAATAGCCTTTAGATAAATAGATTAACAAAATCAGACTACTAGGAGTGAGCCTTATGGGAAGAAAATCTAAAGGGAAAGGAGTTCAGAAGAGCCAATGGTTCTTCAAAGAGACCATTTTAAAGGCACAACAGCAACTAATCCTGATGCAAAAGAAAGACTGGAATAATAAGAAGAAGCCAGTATGGCTCCACCAGTAGCTATTCTATAGCATTAAAATAAAAAAAAATCCATCCCACAAAAAGCAGAAACATGGATAAATTGCAAATTATGAGTACAAAAGAATAGCATAAGCATGTGGAAACAAAATAAGAAAGGTTAAGGCACAAAATAAGCTACATTTTGCAAAGGATGTAAAAGGTAATATGAAGAGGTCCTATAAGTACCTTAGAAGCAAGAAAAAAAATGAAGGAGGATAGTGTGGGTCTTCAATTTAGCTTGGAAGGATTACATCAAGAAGACCGAGATATTTAATTGCTATTTGGCTTCAGTCTTCACTAAAAAGGCAAATTGTGACTAGATACTTAAAACAATCAATATTAACAAGAAGGAAGGAAAAGGGAAAGAACATATTAAAGAATATTTAGATAAGTTTGATACATTCAAGTCAGCAAGGCCTGATGGAATTCATCAGAAAGGAGCTATTTCAGGACTATTAGCAATTGTCTTGGAGAACTCATGGAGGACAGATGAATAGAGAAGGGCAAACATAGTACCTATCTTTAATAAAGAGGAAACAAAAAGAACCTGAGGAATATCAGACCATTCAGTCTAACTTAGATATTTGGAAATATATTGGAACAAATTATCAAATAATCAGTTTATAGCCACATAGAGGATAGCAGAGTTATAAGAAAGAGACAACATGGATTTGTCAAGAACAAATCTAATCTAATTTTCCTCTTTGACAGAGTTGCACATATAGTGCATGAGGGAAGCTGTAGACATGATGTATCTTGATTTTAATAGGAGTTTGATGCAGTCCCACATGAAATTATCATATGCAAAGTAGGGAAATATGGTCTAGATTAAATTATTGTAAGGTAGGTGGGTGCACAAATGATTGAAAGATCATACTCAAAGAACAATCAATGGTTTGCTGTCAAGCTGGGAAGGCATATCTATTGGGAATCAATAATATTGAAATGTTCTTTAATGACTTAGATAATGCAGGGAGGAGTGTGTTTACAGTGTTTGGGGATAAGACCAATCTGGGAAGAGATGCAAGGACTTTGGAGGACACGGTTAGAATTCAAAATAAATTAGAGAATTGGTCGGACAACAAGATGAAATGAATAGACAAATGTAAAGTATTACACATGGGAAGGAAAAATCAAAGGTACAAATACAAAATGAGGAATAATGGGTTATGCAGTGGTACTGCTGACAGGGATCAGTGGTTATAATCAATCACAAACTGAAGATGAGTCAACAATGTGATGCAGTTGCCAGGAAGGCTAAAATATGTCTGGGATGTATTGAAAGGAATGTTGTATGTAAGGGTATGTCTACAGTACAGCATTATTTTGAAATAAGCTATTTCAAAATAGTTATTTCGAAATAGCGCGTCCACACTGAGTGGACACTAAATTGCATTTAAGGCCAGCCGGAACCAGGTCCAGCAGGGCATCAGGTCAGGAGTTACTTTGTGTGGCTGCTGCCTGAGGCTGAGGCCTGTGTTTAAAGGGACCCCTCATGGACAGCTGGCTCTCAGGTTTCCCTGCTTGCTTGCCTATCTCGATGAGGGACAACAAAACTTTTTGTCTCTGCATGCTCTGGATGCCCTCACTCGGGACACCACAGCACTCTGCAACATGGAGCCAGAGCTGCCCCTGAGCACTCTGGCGCTTCCCTTGGTCACATTGCTTTGAGCCTGGCTTTCTGCAGGCTGCCATCTGGGAGGTCCATCGGGGGGCTGTCAGTATCCAGGAGGCCCTGCGGGACAGCTTCCACCCTGAGGAGCACTAAGAGTCTCCCTAGTCTGCCCCACTGGGGACTTGTGCCTCATTCGTCCCTCACATCCTTCCATTTACCCCCACCAGCCCTGCTTCCTGATGTAAAATAAAATACACGTGTTTTCATAAACACAAACTGTCTTTATTTAACAAAACTGGGGAGGCGGGGATGAAACTCTGGTGAGACTGGGGAAAGAAAGTAGGAGAGGGGAGGAGACAGGGTGAGAGAGGGGAGGGGGAAACCTGGGAGGAGGGAGCTGGAAGGGGGAAGCAAGGGGAAGAAGAGGGATGGGAAGCTCAAGGCTCAGGGGTGGGGTTCTCGCTGGACCAACTTAATTTTCATGAGAACCTGGTCCTGGGTTCTCATGTGGCCTTTGGTGGCCAGGCTGGCAGCTATCCTGCCCTAGACAGTCATGTTCCTCCATCTAGTGTGTAGATCATGGACACTGGGGGCATCCCCCTCAAACCCGAATAAGGTTCATGATCTCTGCCCTGAACCAGGAAGGCGCCTGCCTTCTCTGGGCCTTGTCAGGCTCCTGGGAGCTGGCAAGCTACTCCTGGGGAGCGGTGGAGGGCTGACTGCCGGTGGCCTGATGGCTCATGTTTTAGGGCCACTGTGTGCTAGCTCTGGGCTGGCAGGCTTGGAGCTGGCACAGGCACTGTGGCTACAGTCTATCCCGTTAAGGGCTCTGAGGACGGGGGAGGGAGAGGAGTGTTCTTGGTTGAGGCTGGAGTGGCCACCAGGGCACCCTGGGAAGGCTGGAGGCCCCCTATTTTGAAATAAGTGTCTACACAGCACTTATTTTGAAATAACTATTTCGAATTTGGCGTTATTCCTTGTAGAATGAGGTTTACCAAATTCAAAATAAGATCTCCGCTATTTCGAATTTATTTCAAAATAGTGGTTTGGCTGCGTAGACGCTAGGAAAGTTATTTCGAAAGAAGGGCTGCTAGACATAACCTAAGACCTTAGAGGTTATTGTCCTATTGTAATCAACACAACTGAGACTTCAGTAATGTCCATTCCTGGGTGTCACACTTTAAAAAGGATGTGGACAAAAGAGAATCCAGAGGAGAGAAACAAAAATGAGAAATGGTTTAGAAAACCTGACCTATGGGAAAAAATTAAGAAATGGGCATTCTTAGTTTTGAGATAAGAAGATGGCACGGGGGGGGACGGGCACTAGATTACACTCCTTAAATATATTAGGGACTGTTTTAAAAGGACTGTGATCAATTGTTTCCTACAGCAATTGGAAGTAGGTCAAGAAGTAATAGGTTTCATCTGTAGAAAAGGAGATTTGGATTACATATAAGGAATTTTTTTCTAACTATAAGGGTGGTTAAGTTCTGGAATAAGATTGCAAGAGAGACTGTGGAATCCCCATCACAGGGGGATTTTTAAGAACAGCTTACACAAGCAGCTGCCAGCTATGGTCTAGTTTTACTTAGTTCTGTCTCAATACAGAGGGCTAAACTAGCTAACGTCTACACTTCTATGATTCTGTAAAAAAGGCCCCAAATGTTCAACTTCGTAAAGATGCAAGATGCTACAACCCATCTCCAAACACACCCACAATGCAACGGCTGACCAAAATATGGGTTCACTTCAGTCAATGGAAAATGTGTGTTTTTTAGTATAACAGTGTTTCTTCTGTACCACTACTTCTTGTCCTGGTACATTGTAAATATTGATAGCATAGAGTAAGTGTGTTTAAAATAAGGGGTTGAATGTTGGGAGTGTGGTCACATCATGAGCCAGGAAATATAGTGAGTTCTAGGACTGTGAGGTGGCAGAGAAAAATGAAGATGTTCCTTTTGGAAGGATGATGATAAATATAAATAGAGAGGAGCCTGTGAACCTATAAATTTATTGATTATTCTCAATATCAGATAACACCATTGTATAACTAGGGGTGAAATCAGGACCTTTAGGTTTTGCTTAAATATTTGATTCTTTGAAAAGTCAAATCTCTGCCCTTCGGTAGTTTCCATGCCAGTTTGATTAAGTCACAATATTGCATCAAAAACAGACTTACCATGCTGCTCTTGGTCGGTATTAAAAAAAATGCACACACTCAAAATTAGGCCAAGAAATGATTCAGCACATTTCTTGCCAACTTTTTAAATGGTTTTACACAATTTAATGATATCTAAATGCACTAGAAGGCTTTGTTGCTCGAATGTCTGTTTCAACTTTTTCTATTTTATTAAAAATATAATTTTAAAAGTACACCTTGCTTAATTTTATCCTAATTAGACAAACAGCTTGAATAGTTTTACTTTATTTATAGTAAAAAGTGTTCTGAAGAAGGCACAATGTAGTATTTTCTTACCATAAATGAAGAACTTTGAGTGGGAGTGTAGCCGGTAAGAGTAAGTCTCAGGTCCGACACTGGGTTACCAAAGTACAAAGGACGCCACACAGGTATCTGTCAAGCACAAGTAGTTTATTTCTTGACAGCTAACAGCTGTGCCCCATAAATGGAAGAACAATATAACAAAGAAAGCGGCATATCTTACATCCCTTCCTGCAAGCTTGGGACTTCGGGTAGGCTGCGGACGAAGTGGGAGGTTGTCTCAGTTTCTGAGGCACTGGTACCCATCGGCGAAGTCTGATTTGCTAGGCTTTGAGGCAGCCTTAAATACAGTTTTCCTGCCCTGTTTGGCAGTTTGGAAATTTCCAGGGCTTACTAATTAGTGCTGATGTAGAGCTTAGCTGTTAGTCATTGATCTGGTTCTGATCTGGATCTTCTTGTCCTTTGGCCCTGTTTACGTGATCAGTACTTTAGGGTAAACAGAGTTGTTTATGCGTTCTTGTCCTTTAACCTTATCTTATACTTGTTCTTCCTATGCTGTCAATAATGCTTATCTTAAGTGGCGTATGTTCCCAAAGACTTGCTTCTGGCTCATCCATTATAGGGGAAAGAGAAAGGGGGGAAGGATGCAGGCCTCACCACCCCTAAACTATCAGGTACAAAGTTCTTCTGCAATTGACCACTACAGGGAGGGAATCTGATGGCAAAATAATTTACTAAGAATGACAGATTTAGATCTGTATGGTCTCTCTCCTCTCACAACCTCATCATCTATACTTCTGCATATTTTAATGAGTCAGATAATTCAGGTCTCCCATTAAATTGCACCAAATCAATTCTGTCCTTTGAAGAGTGGTGTTTGCATAAGCCCATGTGCATACAAAAGCTCTACGTCCCCTGATACAGCTCTGCAATTCCATTCTGTGGCACCTTTTTAAAAAGGAAAATCCCATCATTGTTAAGCAAACACTGAGAAGGTAAACATTTTTATGTCTAATTTAAATCCCAAAGGAGCAAATAATTTGAGGCACACTGTTCCAATTTCTATTTCAATATTTCTATAGCAATCAGTATTTCTGCATTTACTCCCATTTTGACAGGAGAATCAAAAGTTCTCTGTAGTCCAATGAATTGAAAAGGAATTGAAATATGTTTTTGTAAGTGTTTAAAATAAACTGTTAGGATTTTAAAGGAAGACAGCCAGTGCACTCCTACTCAAGATAATGTGTATTGGAATATAGTTGCAGTATACATTTCCTTTTCACAAGTACCAACACCACAGTTAACATCTCATTTACTCCATACACCTGCAGTGACTTCAACCTAAAGAAATGGGACTGAAACTATCAACTCTCTGAAATACAACCTTACTTCTAAAGTTGGCAAGCAGTGTAAATAATTCAGTCTTTTTTGTGTGTTCTACACAGGAAGTGAGTTATTAACATGACTGGACTAAATGGTCTCTTGAGATCCCTTTCAGTGCTATGATCCTATAATTTTAGTAGAGAAAAACATTCTAGTAATTCCATCTTCTGGGATGTTCAGTGTCTCCTGTGCCTGTTGCCTTTAAGTACTGCAGGGCACAGACTGTCTGTATTAACTGTCTTGCCCAACGTTTTGTACGGAATAAATTCAAATAATAATCCCAGATTTAATATAGAGGCCCTGATACAGCAAAGCACATGTACAGCTTTAAAACTGTGTGTAGTCCTACTCAAACACATCACTAGTTCCATTGACTAGAAATTAATCCTATGGTAGGGGTTGGGCAAACTATGGCTTATGGGCTCCATCTGGCCTTTTCATCCAGCCCTTGAGCTCCGTCTATGAGTAGGGTCACGGGCTTGTCCCACTCAGCGCTCTCCAGACCCAGACTCACAATTCCACCAACTTCCAGCATGCAGAGACACACAGTGCATGGGAGTGACTTCACCACACTGTTTCCATGAGCGGAACCCCACTTCTACCCAGAAGCCTCTCCCCTCCACCCCACCTACAGCAGCATGACCAGTCTCCACTGAGTCTCCTGCACCTCCATGCTCAAGAGCCATATCCAGATGTGGCCTTCCAGCCCAAAAGTTCTCTCACCCCTGGCAGAAATGTTTTGCTGAATTGAGGCTGCAGTGCTTTCACTTCACAATATAGAATCCATTACCAGGGTCAAATGAATAACCAAATTTATGGTTGGAAAGGGATTTTCCCCCAATCCTCACAGGGTTAATTTCCTATAAATTCAAAGGATTAAGACTCTCTCTGATTTTTACAAGCTGTTACACAGGTGCCATTTATGGGAGTGTTGGGGGTCAGTAAGCCGCCCCTCCCCCCAAAGTTTGAAACCCTGGCTTTCATACTTTAGGTCTGCTTAAAGCTCATGCCTTTGCTCCAGAGGCAATTGTCAACTGCACTTCCAGCTTTGCCTCTGGGGGCAGGGAGTTTGTCTATAAACAGAGGGCTGCAGGGTGATTAAGATAACAAAAAGGCTTGTCATTCAAGTAAGTGAAGAATCATTAAATCAGGATAAAAACATTGCCAGTTACTCCACTTAAAAGATAAGATAAAAAGAATGGAGTGGTGTGCTGCAGGGATCTGCATTTGGACCGCTGCTGTTAAACTTCTCATAACTGTTCTTGAAAATGGGGTAAACAGTGAGGTAGCAAAATTTGCAGATACAAAACTACTCAAAATAGTTCAGTCCAAAGCTGACTGAAAAGAGTCATCAGGGGATCTCACAAAACTGGGTGATTGGGCAACACAAGGACAAACAGAATTCAATGTTGAGAATTGCAGAGTAATGCACCTGGAAAAAGATAATCCTAACTATACATACAAAAATGATGGGGCTAATATAGCTGTTACCACACAAGAAAGATTTCAGAATCATTGCAAAAGTTCCCTGAAAACATCTGCTCAATGTGAAGTGTCAGTCTAAAAAAGCTAACCAAATATTATGAATCATTAGGAAAGGAATAGATAATAAGACAGAAAATATCAGATAGCCTCTATATAAAGACGTGGTATGCCCACATCTTGAAGATTGCATGCAGATCTGGTTACCCCATCTAAAAGAAGATTTATTGAATTTAGAAAAGATACAGAAAGGGAAACATATGATTAAAGGTAAGGAACAATTTCCACGTGAGGAGAGATTAACAAGACTGGGACTTTTCATCTTGGAAAAGAAATTACTAACGGGTAAAGGGGGATGTTAGCAGCCTAGAAAATCATGAATGGTGTGGAAAAATAGAATAAGGAAACATTATTTACTCCTTCACTAATATAATACAAGCTCACCCAAAGAAAGTTATAAGCAACAGATTTAAAACAAACAAAACAAATGATCTCTTTACGGCCTAAACTAAAAGGCTGTGTCTTCACTGGCCCCTTCTTCGGAAGAGACATGCTAATTTCTAACTTTGGAATAGGGAAATCCTTGGGGGATTTAAATATCCCCCGCAGGATTTAAATGAACATGGCCGCCGCTTTTTTTCCGGCTTGGGGAAAAGCCGGAAAAGAGCGTCCAGACTGGCGCGATCCTCCGGAATAAAGCCCTTTTCCGGAGGATCTCTTATTCCTACTTGCAAGTAGGAATAAGAGATCCTCCGGAATAGGGCTTTATTCCGGAGGATCGCACCAGTCTGGACGCTTTTCTCCGGCTTTTCCCCAAGCCGGAAAAAAAGCGGCGGCCATGTTTATTTAAATCCCGCGGGGGATATTTAAATCCCCCAAGGATTTCCCTATTCCAAAGTTAGAAATTAGCATGCCTCTTCCAAAGAAGGGGCCAGTGTAGACATAGCCAAAATGTGTTACAATAAGAACAAAATAAGCTTAAGGAGGATAGGTCCATCAATGACTACTAGCCAGAATGTGCTGGAATGGTGTCCCTAGCTTCTGTTAGTTAGAAGATGGGAATGGGAAGCAGGGGATGGATCATTTGATGAATGCCTCTTCTGTTCATGTTTTCTGAAGCACCTGACATTGGCCATTGTTGGAAGAGAGGATAGTGGGCTACATGGATCATTGTCTGACCCAGTATGTCCATTCTGATCTTCTTATATAAAGCACAAATATATCTGCCCCCAGCTAACCCACTAGACCCCACTCCTCGCCCAGAGCTGAGATGGAGCCCTGAAGTCCTGACAGTTTCTCTCTATCCTCAGATTAAGTAACAAAGAATAAACATTAAAATTTTAAGGCTAGCCAGTGTCCCTTATGTGACTTGCCACAACATTTCAGCATATGTTAGAGCTGAATGGATCTAATATTTATTTACAGTACTTTTATTTCTTTTCTATGGGAATTAGATACAGTGCTCCTGCGAGCTAATCGCTAATTTATCTGCTAGAGAGCGAGCGAGAAAGAGAGATTTTCCAGTGCCCTGGATAAAGATTCTATGGGGGGAAGGGTGGCTAGGGTCAGAAACCCCTTCCCCCCCCCCCCCAATTTTCTATTTGATTTTTACTGAG